CCCGCTGGGACACCCGCGCCCGCTGTCTCATTCTGACTTTCCTGGCTCGCCGCAGAGCAGGCGCTCCTTGCCTCTTCCTCCTTCCTGACCGTTCGACTTCCCTGGCCATCATGGCCCACCCCTTCTCTCTCTGCAGTTGCCGCCCCACTTGTAGTTCTAGCAGCGTATGTTCTGCCCTCTGCTGGCTGACTGCTACATCCACCTCCGTGTCGTCCCCCGGCCCTCCGACTTCTGCCTCCATCTCCAGCTGCTTCTTCACCAGGTGCATCTGAATGACGTGGACGAGCCAGTGCATGGCCTCCGCGTCCATGGCTCGGCCCAGTGCCTCCCTTTGTGCCTTTTCCTCCACTCCAGGAGCCGCGGTGGCGTCAGGCAAAAACCCCATGGCCAACTCCCTCTCCCTTGCCGTGGGTTCCTCCCAAACCCCTCGCACGTTGTCATAGACCATGCCGGGCCCGGGCAGGCCTTCGCTTCAGATGAACCCATAGGCTCCTTGGTACGCCACCAGCGTGGGCCAGGCTTCCCTCGGCAGGCCTGGCTGGTTGCACTGGAACTGGCTGGGGTGATCCGGTTTCAGTACCGGCGCGGGCGTCCTGTATGGCTCCAGGATCTCCTCCACTAGGCGCCGTGCCGGCCTTTCTGTCTGAATGAGCTCACTCCTGAGCTTGCCCTCCGGGATCCCGTTTTGCCAGTAGCGGCGCACGCGGTGAGAGTAGGAGCCTTGCTGTACCGCATCCCATGCCACTCCTGCCCCCAGCTCTACCGCCACCACCTCCAGCATCCTCCTTACCGGTTCCCTGCAGTCTGTGGAGAAATCGGGGTTCTCTAGTATATAGAGATACTCCCCGTGCACCTGATACACCAACTTCATAACGCGGATGAGCTCGGCGAACAGCATGGACCTGGGATCTTCTAATCCCTGTCCCTTTCCTGCCCGAGAGACCCCCTGGCATTCCCACCCTGCAACCAGCAAGTCCACTTGACCCCACCGTTCCACGTCCTCCAAGGAGACCTCGCGTATGTCGTGCACCATGCCTTCTTCTGCCTCTGCTTCCAGCCCCGAGAGCAGCTGGTTGGGGTATAGTCCCTTGAGTTTCCTGAGGTGATGCATGGCCATGCGCCGCACCACAGGGTCGATTTCCACCAGCACCCACTTCTTCACTTTGCACCCCGCCTTCAGGGCAGCCGTTAGCCCTGTGCCGATGCCACCAAACAGCTCCACTACGGTTAGTGGTTCCTGCAGCCGGCTCAGGTCCGTCAGGCGCGGAGGCAGCGCCAGTGGTTGCGGTCCCCTCTCCTCCTCCGCCTTCCTGGTCTCTCTCTCCAGCACATATTGCTTCCAGCTCCAAGTCCTCGAGCTGCTCGCTCATCTCTGCTAGCCTGGCCTGGAAGGCCTCCCATGGTTCTCGCTTCACGAAGTGCACCAGCAGTGTCCCGGCGGGGCCGTCATTCCTCCAGTACTGAGCGCGGTAGAGCACCTTCTCCTGCCAGGTGCAAATCGTCGCTCCGATGTGGTACAAGAGATCCATGCCTATCAGCAGATCGTAGTCCTTCGAAGGCGTCACTCCGCACTTCACACGGACTCTTCACTCGTCCTTGGTTCCCGGGCGCAAGATGACTTCCACCGGCTGCCTCGTGCACGGCATCCACTTCGGCTCGCCGCCTTCCGCGGTCATGACCAGGATGCCGCGGTCGTTCAAGCGATTGGGTAGGTCCAACTCCAGTTTCTGCGCAAGCCCCTTGCCCAACAGAATGTGGTGCGCGCCCGTGTCAATGATCGCCTGCGCCACCAGGTCTCCTCCCACGGTAATCCCCCCTTTTTCTATGGTCAGGACGGAGGGCTGGCACACCATCCGCTCCTTAGGGTGTCGTTCCGATGTCATCTCTTGCTCTGGTTCTGCCGCGTATCCTTTGAACCTTCGCACACCTGTCACCTCTGGCTCAGGCCTTCCGCGACTGTCACTCCTGAGCTCGATCTCGTCCCTTTGCCTTGGCGGGCGAACCATGAGCACGGACTCCGCTTCGCTGTCGTCACTCCCGTCCTCGTCCTTGGCCAGCATCGCCGCCTCTTTGCGAGCTCCTCCTTCCATCTCTTGTATTCTCGCCTGCAGCTGCTTCAACTGGATCTCCAGCCCCTCCTTGCTCCTGGGTCCTGCCGAGCCCGGCCGGCAGCTGTAGCAGTCTTGCGTGCGGTGCCCGCGGCGGTTGCAGTTCTGACAGACTGGCACTTCGGGGCATTCCCTGCGCATGTGTCCTTCCTTCCTGCAGTGGTCGCAGGTGGGAGGCCTGGTGCAATCTTGCTGCAGATGTCCTTCTTGCCCGCAGCGGTGGCATCTCCGGGTCTCTCCTTCTCTTTCGGCCCTCCTGGGAGGGAGCTCCCCTGGTGGCGCTGCCATCCACGCTGACCTCCTGCGGTCCTCCCCTTGCGTCTCCCCCTTCTCCATCTAGTACAGACGCATACACAGCTCGTGCTTCTTTGCCAGCTCGTAGGCTTGCTCCAGCATGGCCGCGGCTCCCATCTCGAAGATTCTTCCCCGCACTTCCCTTGCGAGTTCTTTACTCAGGCTCGTGAGGAACTTGGTGACCAATCTTCTCTCGTCGCGGCATTCCATGTCCGAGGCAAGCTCCCGCAGCCTTCCGTAACACGCGAGCAGTGATTACCCCTCTCGTCGGCGAAAGTCGGCGAACTCTCTCATGCGCTGGGGCGTCTGCACCGGGAAGTGTCGTCGTAGCATTTCGAAGAACTGCGGCACCACCTCCCATGTGATTCCCCTCGTTTGGCCCGCCTCGCTGAGTAGACGTTCCATCTCCAATCCATAGGCCGTCTCGGCTTCCCCCGTCACCGTGTTTGATAGCCCGTGGAAGAAATCTTCCGGCTCCAACCCGTCCTTCATCCACCGATACTTCGCGTTTCGAATCTGCATCATGTAGTTGCGCAACGAGCTCCCCACTCCTGATGTGCCTGCGAAGCGTTTCGGCACTTCGATCTTGGGCAGTGCTGCGTATCGGACGGAGGTGTGCGAGATTTCCGTGGGATGATGCTCCGGCATCGAGATGCGTCGCGTCTGCGCCAGCAGGCCCGTGGCCGTCGCGCTCGCCTCCTGAGTGTCTTCGGTCAATGATGTGGTTCCTGCTGGGACTACCTCCGCGAGGGGTTGTTCCGTGAGCCCTCCTTGTCCGCCGCTGCCACCGCTCGGCAGGTCGCTCATGCTGTGCCTCCGATGCGGCGCGGTGTACGGTTCCCTGCCTGGCGCAATTCCTGAGAGCGGAGCCCGTGATCCGCCTTCTGTTCCTGCCACTTCTCCGGCTCTCCATCCTGGAGTAGCCATTTGCGCAGGCTCGAGTGTAGGTTCGTACAGATTGCCCGATCTGAGCTGCACCATCCGCACTCCTACCGTCGCAACTCTGGCCTCTCCCTTCTTTGTTTGTCGAAAAAGCTCACTAACCCATCAACTTGTCTAGCTGTTTGGCTTTCGCTTACTTGAGGCCTGTGTTTGGGTTAACAGTATCCATTATCAGAAATGTAGAAAACAAACAAAGAAGCAGCGAGCTCAAACCCTAGGTCAAAGCTATGTACAAGATGTTGCTGGCCTAGCACGGAGCTCTAGTTGTTGAGCACACACAAGCAGACAAACATCCATCAAGGTGTTCCGAGGTTCGGGAGCGCCCGAGGCTAAGCCCAGCGGCCTGTGGTTGCATGGGCGTTTGCACAGGTGCTAAGCCTAGCTGTCACGGCTCCAGCATGTGCTATTGCGCTATTCACCAGCTGGCAGGCTGCTGCTCTTATTCGCGTTTGCAGCTCCTCGCTATGGTTTGGTAGCACCTGCAGACACAGGAAAAGAAACATGCTCATACCACGCGCATTGTCACACCCATCTGACATGCCATTCTTATGTACAGTGCACACTCACACACCGCATTCCACACCTCATACGCAGCCCACTGTCCCCGCGTCCCCCATTGTGCCACATGCCTCGCTACAAGTCCAGTCGCTCCTGTACAGTGCGCTCCTTGTACGCCTTCTCCCTCATACAGTTTCTGCTGTCTCAGTATTATTCTGCCCGCCTGCTGGAGCTCTGCCGGTCAGCGTAATTCTGTGACATAGTGTGTTTTATACGTGTACAGTACCGGTATGAGTGCACGGGTGAGAAATCGTAATTTCCCATATCCGCGCTACAGACGCCCCAATCGAAACGAAACTGTTGGAGGTGTGTACACGTGGAGGGCCGAACACTTGTGGTTGAGGCGTAACAGAATATCCCAGCGGAAACGGGTCGTCAAGCCTGACGACCCTCTGACGACTTGACGACATGCTGCCCCGGGCAGAAAAAAAAACTAAAAACCTGACCGGATGCATGCCCGAACGGGTTTTAGTTTTTTTGCCCGCGGGCAGCGAGCTCCCCCGTGCGGACTCGCTTGTCCGCTGAGATATATCAACCGAAAGCGTCCCACGCCCACCACACTTTTCATATCCAGCCCTCAGACATCCTCCACATCAAAAGTGTGGAATGACAAGAAGGCATCGAGAATTTTATGGTCATTCGGGAAACTCTTCCATTTATCTTGTGGTTCCCGCAAGTTCATTCCTATGAAAGTTTCTCCCCAGCAGCATGGCCGACTTTTTCTAGCCTACGATGCGCGGGCTGGTAAACCCGATTAGAACTCACGTTAGAAATGCCGACGCATATGTCACGTGCACACCTGATGTACATCGTGGTGCTCAAGTCCAGTGAACGACGGCTGACATTCAACCTGAAACGACGTGCATCTTTGACAGGTCATCTGGATACCAGCATGTGCCTCCATTGGTTGCAATCTTTATTGCTGTGGTGGAAAACTTGAGGCTCTGTCGAACGCGTATGTCGGATCATGTTGCATGTGAAGGAAAAATATTTGAACTAGTAGCATGACGGTTCATTATCTACGGTGCCTTTCAAGGTTTCAACTGGAGCCTTCCATTCCCAGCAGTGATCAAGTGCTCCTGTGAGACACAAGGAGTCATGGCTTCCCCTGCCACGCTTCCTTCCTCTCCGCCATGGGCCCCCCTCTCCTCTCCGCCACTCGTCGATCCGCGTTATCAGCAGCGGGAAGCCGCCGAGCTGCCCGAACGAAGCCCGTCGCCATCTGTCGCTGCGATTCCAGCGGCGATAGCAGCGGTTCCGGCGATCGTAACGGCTTCGGCGCCGGCGTGTCTGGGTGCAGCGGGTGCTGGAGTAGGAGGGGGTATATATGTGATCCCGTTCTGCATCGCGACAGCCGCTTTACTGGTTATCGGTCTTGTCATATTCGCAACTCGTTACCACGCATGTGCTTACATTTTCCATTATGTAACTAGTACTAGCCGAGCGAGGAGCAACGCGTCGTCGCCGGCTACGAGTCGCGGTGCTGATCAGCAAGCACCAGCCGGATTGGACGCGGAGCGAATCGCGACGTTCCCCGTGTGGTCCTACTGCCTTTTCCCCGCTGTTGCGGGAGATCCTCCCGCTGGAAAGAAAAGCGAAGGCAATGGCGAGAACGATACTACTACCCATGGAATTGACACAGCTGCGTTAACTACACAAAGGGGGGTTGCATCAAGTGCTGACGCCGCTAATTTGTCTATTACACCAGAAATTCGAGTGGGTGAGTTGTCTACACGGGAGAGGCTGTTATCAAGCACAGAGTGTACAGTGTGTTTAAGTGATTTTAACGAGGGAGAGCTGATCCGGTTCCTTCGGCCGTGCGAGCATCAGTTCCACGTGGCGTGCATCGACCATTGGCTCGCCACCAAGACCACGTGTCCCGTGTGCCGAACGGACCTCCAATCGCCAGATCCTATTGCAATTACCGATGAATCTGAGGTACGAACGGATAAGGTGGAGGGAGGAGACAACGCGGTCTGACGCATCTTGACAGATTTCTTTGGAACGCATAAGAAGCAATTTAATTAATTGGGATGGGGAAGGGGTAAATTGATTAGTACGCAGTGACGACGCGGGATTGGTGGTAGTGCAATGAGAACTTAGGAGTAGCCAGTCACTACGTACTAAAACAATCGAAGGCGGAGAACGAAGGCAGGAGTGGGGAGGGTGAGGTTTGTTGGTCGTCCTTCCAGCCGAGCATCTCGGTAGGCCAGTGGGGCTCGGTGGGACGCGACTGCTGAATACAATACCTCGGGTCATTGTAATAATGGTTGCATTTTTCAAAAAAACTGGATTTCAAAACCTTGGTCCAGTTTGGGGTTTCTGGTATATCATTCATCAAAGCAAAGCACCCATGAACAGGAAAATCCTTCTAACTTCAAATGGAAGATAAACAAGTTGAAGCACAATTCTGTAGCCGCATAAGATAGACATCAATATTATCAGGAATTATTGGTTGGGTTGGGTGAGATGCTTTCGTGTTCTTCCCATACCATTCCTACCTACCTTCCCCTACCCCTCCCCCTCATCCCACCTCGTCCTCCCCTCCCTCCTCCACGCCCTGACGGTGACCACCCACCTCGCCCACCTCCCCCCCGCCCCCCACTCCTCCCCCCTCTTCCACCTGCTTCCCCCCCTCTACCGCCTCCCCCACGACCCCTCCCCCTCCCTCTGCCCCTGCCCCTCCCCCCTCCTCTACCGCGCCCAAAGCCTCTCCCCCTACTGCCCTCATAACCACCCCCGACAAAGGCTGGAAGGGGGAGGGGGGGCGGGGAGGAATGGGTTTGAAACCAAGAGTGAGTACACATGGGGGAGAGTTGAAAATATAGTTTTATGACATGCATGATGGATTCGCATGATGCGACCAAGGACTGCTGAGCAGGGGGGAAAGAAGCATGGAGAATATTGTTACCGGTAAGTCTGAATGATAGTCATGTGGCATGTCACATGCTAGCGAGTGATGCACGCCTGACAGCCTCCTGACAAGAACTTGCTTATTCCTTTGTCAGGACAGCAAGCAACAGCGTTTGCCGGGTGTTTCTTTGTGGATGCGTGTTTTCCACTGCGGCACGCGTATTGTCGAAGTAGTGCTCTTTTGCACATACATGCATGCCTTTGCCTCAAAGGGAGTTGCAGAATGGTTTTGCCACAGGGGAATTGCACAAAGGGTTATGTTAACCAATTTTCAAAACGGTTGTTAAAAATTTAAAGAAGAAAAAGAAGAATAAACACTTACTGTCATCGGGCTCCTCGCCAACCTCCTTGCGATACCAGTACACGTCATCCTCCTCCTCCTCCTCCTCCCTCCTCCTCGTGAGGTTGGAGTGTGGGAGCAGCAGAGCAAGCAAGCAGAGGAGCTAGGAGGAGAGGAAAGGCACTCACTGTCATCGGGCTCCTCGCCAACCTCCTTGAGGTACCAGTCTACATCCTCCTCCTCCTCCTCCTCCTCCTTGTGAGGTTGGAGTGTGGGAGCAGCAGAGCGAGGAAGGTAATGGACTTAAGCAAGCAGAGGAGGTAGAAAGAGATGAAAAGCACTCACTGTCATCGGGCTCTTCGCCAGCCTCCTTGCGATACCAGTCCACATCATCCTCTGTGTTTCTGTTACCGGGATTGCAGTGGTAACCGGTTGCGACTAATCGCCTCATTCACACCACAGGAAGTACGGGCTTTTTAAGAGCGCATACTGTCATCCGGCTCTCGCCAACCTCCTTTCGGTACCAGTCCATGTGAGGTTGGAGCCAGGGAGCAGAGTGAGGAATCAGAGCGAAGAAACAATGGACTAATCCAAACAGAGGAGGTAGGAGAGGACGTGGGAGAGGAGGGAAAATCCACTCACTGTCATCAGGCTCCTCCCCAACCTCCTTGCGATACCAGTCCACGTCATCCTCCTCCTCCTCCTCTCCCTCCCCCTCCCTCGCCCCCACCGCCTTCCCTTGCTCTTCCTCCCCATCGCTGTCCTCCCCACCACCTGCCTTGCCCTTCGATGCTTTGAGCCTGGCGGCAAGAAAAAGGGGGAGGAAAGGATAGAAAGAGAGCAGGTTGAGTTGAGAGTACTTTCTTCCTCTTCATTCCTTATGGTCCTCCTCCTCTCCCTCCCCCTCCCTCGCCCCCACCACCTTCCCTTGCTCTTCCTCCCCACCTGCTGCCTTGCCCTTGGATGCGTTGCAAAGGCATGAAGGAAGGCAGAAGAAAAAAAGGGAGGGAGAAGGATGGAAAGGCAGAAGAGTGAGTTGAAAGCATTTCCTTTCTCTTCATTCCTTACGGTCCTCCTTCCATTCCTCCCCCCCACCTGCCTTGTCATTGGATGCCTTGAGCCTGGCGACAAGAAAAAAGGGAGGGAGAAGGATGAAAAGGCAGAAAAGCGGGTTGAGAGTATTTCTTTTCGCTCCATTCCCTACGATAATTCTCCCCCTACTCTCCCCCACCTGCCTTGCCCTTGGATGCCTTGAGCCTGGCGGCAGGTACAAGGGTTGGGGAGGGATTAAGACACAAGTACGGCCTTTACTTTATTCATCACCCTAAACCTCCCTTACCCTTCCGCCCTCCCCTGACCCTCACAGTCCCACCTCCAGCTTCCCCACCCTTCCGCTGCACGTTTGCCTCTTGCTCCTCCGTCCTCCGCATCTTCATCGCATCAAGGGAGATGAATGAAGATACCTTACCCTCCCTGCCCTGCCGCAGTCCGCCACACTCCCCCAGAACCCCCCACTCACATCTTCCTTTCCTTCCTCCGCTTCTTCATTCGTCCCCTAAACATTGGCCCTCCCTGCCCCTCCCTGCACCCCAATTGCCCCTACCAACACCCCCCCCCCTTCCCCACCCTTCCCCAAATCCCCCCACTCACATCTTCTTCCTCCGCACGTTGGCCTCCTGCTCCTCCTTCCGCCTCTTCTTCTCCCTCTGCCGCTCCTCTGCCCTCTGCTGCAGATCCGCCTCCTCCTCTGCTGTCTTCTCCACTGGCGGAGGGAAGGGGGAGGGGGGGAGAGGGAGGGGAGCGAGGGTCAGATGAAGCCAGACAGCAATCACTGCTTGCCGCTCCTCTGCCCTCTGCTGCAGTTCCGCCTCCTCCTCCGCTGTCTTCTCCACTGGGGAATCAGAGGGAGGAAAAACAAAAGAGGAGGGAAGAGCGGGGAGAGGGAGAAACGGGAGGGGAAGTAATCCCCCTGTGTTCCCACCCTCTCCGCCCCTTCCCTTCCCCCTTATCCTAAACTCCTCTTAAATTCCACGCTCACTGAATCAGTGGGACATGACAGCGCAGCTAGACAGCCCCTCCTTATCCTTCCCTGCCTGCATCTCCCTGCAAGCCGATACATAATCCCATCGTGTGCCCACCCTCTCACCGCTCTCATCCCCCTATCCAAGACTCCCCTATTTACCGAATCGGTGGTACATGACGGCCCGTTGGACAGCCCCTCCTCCACCTTCCCTTGCCGGAACACCCCGAGCCTTACCCTTTGCCCTTCCCTTCTTCTTTCCCAACCTTCCACCCCTTATTCTCAACCTTCCACCCTGTCCACTCCCACTCACCGAATCGGTGGTACATAACGGCACCGTTGGACAGCCCCTCCTCCACCTTGACCAATAGCAGGGTGACACGTGGCCCCAGCTCGTGCAGCTTCACCTGGCTCTGCTGCGCTGCCCGCACGCCCCGCCCCATGTCCTGGGGAGCCTGCACCCGACTCCCTTCATCCGCTTCACTGTCTGAGGGATAGGCTGCCGGCCTGCATACAGTGTGGGAGTGCAGAGAGGGGTAATGAGAGTCAGCACAGCACATTGCCACCCCCACTGACAGCCCGCACCCCCCGCCCCATGTCCTGGGGAGCTTGCACCCGACTCCCTTCGTCCGCTTCACTATCGGAGGGATAGGCTGCCGGTCTGTGTCGGGATGGGGAGGGTCACAGTGACATGCAACACAGCATAAGCACATTGGTCCCAGCTCGTGCAGCTGAGGCGTCTCAGAAGCCACATTGGATTCTGCTCGTGCAGCTTCACCTGGCTCTGCTGTGCTGCCCGCACCCCCCGCCCCATGTCCTGGGGGCCTGCACTCTGCTGCCCTCATCCGCCTCACTGTCGGAAGGATAGGCTGCCGGCCTGCATACAGTGTGGGTGTGCGGAGAGGGATAGTGAGAGTTAACACAACAACCACATTGGCTCTGCTGCGCCGCCCGCACGCCCCGCCCCATGTCCTGGGGGGCTTGCACCCTGCTGCCCTCGTCTGCTTCACTGTCAGAAGGATACGCTGCTGGCCTGTGCGGGAATGGGGAGGAGCATAGTGAGTGTCAAGACAACAAACACATTCGCACGCCCCTCCCCATGTCCTGCTGGGCCTGCACCCGGCTGCCCCCTGTTTCACTGTCTGACAGACAAGTTTCTGGCCTGCTGGGTGTTCTTGTAGGCCTTTAATATGTTGATTCTTGAGGCGCCTCAAAAGTCGGCCTTTGATATGTTGATGCAGGCTGCGAAGATCATTCATATTTTCACCTTCTAGTCTATCAAAAGTTGATTCAACCCAGCAATGGAGCCATAATGCAAGAAAGAGGGAAAACAAAGAACCGGCCAGGCACACTTTGCTCATACCTACCTTACCTAGTACTTACCTTGTATCCGGTTCACTAATATCGGTGAGGTGGCTGGCTGTGAGGGTGGTGGGCAGCGCATGGTGGTGCACCAGATTGCGCAGCGGCTTCGACACCCTGTACCTTATAGCGGGTCGTCGTTACCTTATAAGGGGTCGTCCGTACTTTGTAACAAGCTCTTGTGCGCTCTTACCTTGTAACGAGTTCACTAATATCGGAGAGGTGGCTGAGGTTGGGCAGTGCGTGGTGGTGCACGAGATTGCGCAGCGGCTTGGACACTCCCACAGGGCGCGCAGTGATGGCGTAGTGGCGCATGTCGATAGTACCACTGGCAGGGTCGTGGTTGAGAAGGAGGACCCGCCTGCAGTCAGACAGTTTCACCTGGTGGAGAAGAGGGGTGAGAAGAGAACAAGAGGGGCTTTAGGCTTTGACACTCCTGCAGGGCGGGCAGAGATGGCACAGTGGCGCAGGTCGATGGTGCCACTGGCAGGGTCGTGGTTTAACAGCAGCACTCGCATGCTGATGTGTGGTGAATATTCGCATACATGCATTCAACTTCAGCAGGTGTACTCACAGCAGAGAGTTGATGGGCAGAATCATGCTCTGAAACATGATGGCCATATGAGGTTCAGATGTTTCAACAAGTCAGTTTGAACAGACACAGAGACATCAGCTGTGTGTGTTTCCTGGCATAGCTGCATGTGGTTCAGAGATGCTTTCAGGGCAATCTCAAGGCACTCACAGTGGACACGTTGATGGGTGGAAACATGTTCTGGAACATGATGGTCATGAGCTTCAGATGCTCCGTGCCCTTGCCACTTGCCCCCATGCCGTTCATCACCACCTGGGTGGGGGTGGGTGGGGAGGTGGGGGAAGGGAGGCCGCATGCACATGTGCATTGATTAGGCTCCTTAACAGCTTCAGATGCTCCGTGCCCTTGCCGCTTGCTCCCATGCCGTTCATCACCACCTGGTTGTGAAGGGTCGGGTTGCGGGGGAGGAGGTGTGAGTCGACGCATGCACACATACATACATATTATTAGGGCTTATTAGAGCATGGGTGGAACCATGATGGTCAAAGGCTTCAGATGCTCCCTGTTCTTGCCACTTGCTCCCATGCCGTTCATCACCACCTGGTTGTGAGGGGTGGGGATGGTGGGGAAGGAGGGAGGGAGAAAGGGGGGCCACACAATCATGCACTTGTTAGGCTCCTCAAAAGCTTCAGATTCACACATGGACGAGGTGGGGGGGAGGAAAAGAGGGGGGCATGCTCACATGCACACAGGCTCACACGCACACATTGCCACATGCACACATGCACACATGCACACATGCACACATGCTCACATGCACACATGCACACATGCACACATGCTCACATGCTCACATGCACACATGCACACATGCACACATGCACACATGCACACATGCACACATGCTCACATGCACACATTGCCATATGCACATATGCACACATGCACACATGCACACATGCTCACATGCACACATGGACACATGCTCACATGCACACATGCTCACATGCACACATGCACACATGCTCACATGCACACATCCTCAAACAAACCCGGTCCCTAAATTATTCCATCTTCCTGTCTTAACCAAACCCCAACCCGGAACCTCGAACCGCCAACCCCACTTCCTCTTCCTCCCTCTCCCCACCCTCCTCACCAGCGGTGGCGCCTCGAACACGCCAGCTGGCACGTAGGGGCGCCTCTGGGACTTGGCCACGTCAGCAGCGAGGGAGTAGTCGAGGACGCGGAAGGTGAGGGTGGGTCCACGTGGCGTGCGCGCGACGCGCAGATAAGGTGACACGTCAGACTTGGAGAGCATGAGGAAGTGCGTCACGCCCAGAGGGCCTGCCACGTGGAGGAAGTCCTTCAGGTTGTTTTTCCGGGATTCCTGTCGAGGGTTTGGGGTTTAAGGTTAGAAAACTTGGAATTTAGGGTTCCTGTTCAGTGCGTTATATTAAGGTAGACTGAGGAAGTGAGTGACGCCCAGCAGGCCTGCAACGTGGAGGATTTTTTTAAGGTTGTTTTTCCTGGATTCCTGTCGAGGGTGTAGGGATCAAGGTAAAAAACTTCCTGTTTGGGTGGGGTTCCTGTTCAGGGCTTTACATTAGGGTAGACTGAGGAAGTGAGTGAAGAGCAGCGGGCTTGCCACGTGGAGGAAATTCTTGAGAGTGTTGCGCCTGGATTCCTGGTGAGGGGTATTCGAGGATTAGGGTTCAGGTTTCAGGACCTTGTTTAGAGGTTTGGGTTAAAGAGATTGGGTTGGAGAGCATGGGAAAGTGCGTGACGCCCAGAGGCCCTGCCACGTGGAGAACGTTTTTTAGATTGTTGTGCTGGTAAAGGGGTTTGGGGTTTAAGGTCCTGGTTCAGGGCTTTGGATTAAGGTAGACCCAGAGTGCGTTGCACGGGGAAGTCCGTTGCACTTACCCAGTCCGCTGCGTGAGCCTAATTCTGTGAGAAAAAAGGTGTGGGATTCACCCCGGGGTTTTGGTCCTTAAAAAAAAAGAGAGGGGATGAAGGGTTTTGGGATGAGGTGGAGTTGGAAAGCATTTAGAAATCCATGGCGGCAAGGGAACCTGGAAAAACTCCTTGACTTTTGGGAACCAGAGACTTTTGCGCCTAGATTCCTGAGTTGGGTATGGTGGTTCGAGATAAGCACAATGCAAAGAGGGCACTGGATGGGGGGGGAGGGGGAATGGCAATGAGTCGTCTTGTAACCAGCGCAGCACAATTCTTTATAGCGAAAGCGTGCCTTGATTTCTGCGAGGGGTTTAAGATTTGGGTTTAGTGCGATCAACAGAGGAGAGGGGAAGGGACGGGAGGGGCGGGAAGGGCTTCGAGACGACTTACAAACAGCGCACACAACGTCTGGAAGGAAAATGAGCCGTGATTCTTCCGGGTTTTAGGTTTTGAGGCGCCTCAAAAAGGGGCGGGCAGGGTTTCGAAACGACTTGCAAACAGCGCGCACAGCGTCTGGAAGGAGAATGCGCCTTGATTCTTTAGGGTTTCAGGTTTCCGCGAAAGGAAAATGGGTGGAGGGTTGAGATATCTAAAATCCATCACAATAGAGAGACCTTCAGAGAGGCGAAAGAAGAGGACGGGAACGGCGGCACTGGAGGCGATCGCAAGGGAAGGCGAGACAGCAAGGGCGCGATGGAACGGGGAGGAAATGGCCAGAAACGTTGGGCGCTGGTTGGTTGACAAGGAAGAGAGGCGCGGAGATGGCTCGCGCCGGGGAATTGGGGGAGGAGAAGGGGGAGACGAGGGAGAGGGGGAAAGGGGAGTGGGGGGAGATGGTGGAGAAGCGGGAGAAGCGGGAAGAGCGCGAGTTCGCGCGAGAGCGCACCTTGAGCTTGAGAGTGGTAAAGGGCAGCAGCATTTTCCGCATGTCCTGCACGAGGCGCTTCAGGAGACTGCTGAGACGACTCAACGGTCACCTACAGGGTTTCTCACTAGGCGCTGGGTTTCTCAGCGGACCTTGAGTTTGAGCGCGGTAAAGGGCAGCAGCATCTTCCGCATGTCCTGCACGAGGCGCTTGAGGAGAATGTTGACCTTCCCGCGCGCGAACATCATGGTCCGCGGAACCTTCTCGTCCGGCGCCATCTGCGCTGCCGCCTCCTCCTCCTTCCCCGCCTGCGCCGCCCGCCGCTTGCTCTCCTTCGTCTTGCGCCGCGCCATCGCGGATCTTTGCTAGGTGCGCAGGGAGAAAGTGCTAACGGATTACTCGGCGCGCAAGGAGGACGACCCTAACGGGAGTGTGACGCGTGCGAGTCGTCTTGGGTGAAGCGATTTGCGAAATGTATAGTGTTTGGCAAGTCACCGGCGGCCACTACGGCAAGGAAGATTGCACTAGGCGCCGACACTGCTAACTTGCTGAAAGAAACTAAAATTTCGAGTGCGAGTTGTCGACTCGGCAGAGGCTGATGACGAGTACGGGGTGCACAGCGTGCTTAACGCAATTACGCGGATCTAAATACCACTAAACTCAGTGCGTATCTTCTATTACCTCGTCTCCCATGATCAGCCGTAACGACATGTGCGAATGGTGATGCGTTTTTGAACGTCAGGAGAACGACCACCTGCATAAACCTGTCGAAGGAGGTGGCAAGTGAAGGCGTGAGCGGAGGGGGGTTCTTGCCTGCGAGAAATTCTTGGAGACGAGCATCGGTGCGGATGATTTAAGATCGGTAAGGCTCGATAGGGCTCGGACACATACTCGATACAGTTGTGAAATGTTTTCGCGATTGTTGATGCTGTTACGAGTGCAATTAAGTGATGAATATGTAGAGAAATGGTGAACAGCATTACAATTCCCTCGCACACTTTTACAGCTCACAACACAATCTGTCCTTGTAACAGAACCGGAATCTCACCAAAGCGAGTCATTCACCCTCGTCGCCATGCCTTCGCTTCTCCAGCTGCGTGGCCGCCATACCACTTCAAGCAGGCGAATAGGGCGATTCGTGCACTCGGGCTTCATAGACTTGAAGCAGAATAGATTGGCGTTGCAGCATGTCTCTGCCGAGCCAAGTCCGCGTCGTTTAATCGACTTGAAAGTGACTGCCCGGCTTCGCAGTAAACCAAGGCGCCGAAGCCATCAAACACTTTCACTCAACAAGCAATACCGCAGTTGCTGACCGCATATTAGTAGTGTTCGGCCCAACCACGGTTCCGCAATCTCGGCGTAGAGTGCGGGGAGGAGGGTAGTAACATGGCCGGCGAAATTGGCGACGCTCGCGAAGGATTCGAGTGGGTCCGCGAAGAGCTGCTCCGCGTGTTGAAGAGCCGGCGACGCCCGCTCGAGGGTGAGATGCGAGAAATCCACGGGGGAAGTTTCGAGGAAGGGCTGGGAGGAAGTGAGCGGAGAAAGGGAGGGAAGGGAGGCAGAGAAGGAAGAAGAGGACAGGGACAGAAAGAGAAGGGAACCATAAGATAAAGTGGGACGCGAAAAAACGCATAAGACGAGATTGTCCCGTGTACGGTGTACGTACTTTTGAGTCATTGTTTCTGAGCCGATGCACTAAGATAAGGCATTGTCCCACCACTTCCCCATCATGCAATGATGGCATTCACACCATTCATGCATGCATGATGGCATGATGGTTACAAGTGCCACATTGCCCCATACCACGCCTCAAACTGGCTTCTTGGTTTCTGAGCCAATTATAGATATAATCGGTTCCTCGACCCCGTCATGCAATGATGGCATTCACGCCTTTCATCCGCGCATGAAGGCATGATGGGCTACATCTACTACACTGCCCCATAAGATAAAAGTTTTGAGACGTCTCAATACAACACTTTTATCACGCGGCATGATGGACTACATCTACCACACTGCCCCATAACATGGCTCAACCTGGCTTCTTGAATCATTATTTCTCAAAACCATCATGCCATCATGACACATCTCCCTCTCTTTCTCTACTGGATGCAGCTCCTGGATTTGAGGAGGCGAGTTGGCAGGAGAGCAGCGAGACACTGGCAGGTGTGCTTGTAGGAAGGGAGATTTTAGGAGGGGTGATTTTAGGAGGGGTGATTGTGGGAATGTTTATTGCAGGGAAGGGTGATTGTAGGAAGGTTGATAATAGGAAGGGTGACTGTGGGAAGGGTGATTTTGGGAAGGGTGAGTGTGGGAAGGGTGATTGCAGGACTTTATATATGCATAAAGGAGATTCTTCTCACTCACCTGCGTTTTTCACATGCATCGCATGATGCTCTAAATCTCCCCTCATCTCCTCTCTCTACCCTCCTCTCTCGTCCCCTCTCATTTCCCTCCTCTCTGCGCCTCCTCCTCATCTCTTGCAACAGCATTCCATCATCCACTTGCACACAGGCACTCTCTCCTCTCCTCCCTTACCCTCACCTCCCTCGCACCTCCCTTCCAGACGGTCGCATCCTTGTGCGTCAAGAGATTGATCTGCTTACCGAGGTAACGCTTGGGGAGAGAGCAGGCGAGCACAGGTTAGTGGTGAGACGAGTGATACACTCACCTGTTCTTTCCTACCAGGTGATTATCACTCGTCTCACCACTAACCTATACATACCCAGCGCAGCACAGGACACAGAGGGTGATTGCAACACATGCGAAGGTGTCTTATTGCACTTATAACGGGTGCTTGAAATGCATGTGTCTGTTAAAAGTAGGCCTTTCTTGATCAATCAAAGCCTCAGGCTTTGCATGTGCTTCCGCTGCGCCTGTTTGTGTCTCCGTTGTTTGCAGCCGTTTTCTGATATGACGCCTCTCTTTCCCTCTTTGCTCTCCTTTTTACCACCTCTCTGTCCTCTCCTGCTTCGGCCTTCAACCCTCGTGTCTCTTTTTCCCACCTCAATGTCCTCACTTCCTGCTGCTGCCTTCAACCCCCGTGTCTCCCTTTTCCCTGCTTACCTCCCCTTACACCCGTTCTCCCCTCCACGCACGCACGAGTGCATGGAACAGGAGGGCGAGCAGGGCCGCATGCCTGTCACTATAATGAGTCTGCTTCTACCGGAGCACAATGAGCCACAACAGCAGCAGGCAGAAGGGCATGGGAGGAGGGCGGCAGTGATTCTGCTACACAGCACGGGCAAGAGCAAGGAGGCGCTGCTGGGGCGGCAGAAGGTCTGTTAGTCGCTTCTGCACCCAGACTCCCACCCAGACACCCACCTTCCACTCGTTGAGTCGTATGCCACTTCTGCAGCACGGGCAAGAGCAAGGAGCGCTGCTGGAGCAGCAGAAGGTGGGTGTCTGGGTGCTTGCCATTGCGTTTTGAGACGTCTCGAGCAATAGCAGCAGCAGAAGCAGCAGCAGCAGCATCAGCAGGAGTTGGAGAGGCGTGGGAGGAAGGCAGCAGTGATCTTACTGCACAGTACGGGCAAGAGCAAAGAGGCTCTGCTGGAGAGGCAGAAGGTCCGGGGTGCTGCATCGTTGTTGTCATTGAGGCGCATTGGCCAAAAAGGCAAAGAGGCTCTGACTCAGACCCTCTTTGTGTGTGTGTGTGCGTGTGTGTGCGTGCGTGCGTGCGTGCGTGCGTGCGTGCGTGCATGCGTTCAGTCGCGTTTTAGTTGTACTCTGGCTGCATTCTCATGTTTCCATGCCATGCTGGTGGCCTTTCCATCCCTGCTCCCCCAACCCTACCACCCCTCCCCCCACCCCCCTTTCCCCCCCCTATCCCTGTCTCCCATCTCACGCCTTCAATCTCATCGCCATCACATGTGACCTCCGCTACCATGGCGCTCGTGCTTCCTCCAACTCTCTCGCTCTCCCTTCCCCTCTCCACCCATCTTCCCCCTTTTCCCCATCCCCTGCCCTATCTCCTTGGCAGGAGCTGGCATGTCTCAATCTCATCGCCATCACATGTGACCTTCGCTACCATGGCGCTCGTGCCTCCTCTCCTGCTGCATACTCGGATGTATGTTGAACCCACGTTCCCCCTTCCTCTCCACCTCCCTCCCAGTTTAACCTTTCCGTCTTCCGCTCTCCTCCCCTTCTTTCCCCCCCATCTTTCTCCTCCGGGTCGTTCCTTTCAAGCTCTTTCTCTCATTCCAAGCTCCTACCTTCAATAGTATCACACTCTCGTGTAACAGCTTGGACTAGTGTTGTTTCCGCTCTGCCTCCGTCCCTTTCTCCTCCATCTCTTGCTCTTCTCTCCTTCCTCCATCAACTCCCACTGCCAGGCATTAGTCAGGGCGTGGAGGACAGGCCAGGAGATGCCATTCGTCCTTGATCCAGTACCTGCCTGCCTCTACCCCCTTCCCTTCCTCCACCTCTTGCATCCTTCTCCTTCCTCTGCCACCCCTCACTGCCAGGCATTGGTCAGAGCGTGGAGGACAGGCCAAGAGATGCCGTTCGTCTTCGATCCGGTACTTGCCAGCTGCCTTTCCGGTGCCTTTTCAGGTGTTTTTTTCGCTGCCTATCTGGTGTGTTGATCATGCCGTTCAGGTGCCTCATACGCACTCAGCCATAGGCTCCTCATTTTTCCCTTCATGACATTGCCACGTGTAATAAGATTGTTTTTGAGTCGTCTCAAAATCAATCTTATTACAGGTGATTATCCTTTCTCCCTTCGTGCCATTGCCACACCCAATATTGTCATTTCCCTGTCTCCTTCTTTTCAAGCACCTGAAAACAAAGCAAGCCACTCGCTCACTCCACAGAAGCTCTGAAATAAGCAGCCTCGTTCCTCCCTTCATTTCCCCTTGTCCTCATCCAGGTGTGGGGCGTGCTTCGCCTGATGGGCTATCTCACAGCCACTCACACGGACACCATCCACCCACTCCCCTCGCATCGCCATCACCGGCGTCTCCCTTGGCGGTGTGCATTCCTTTCTTCCCGATTTTCCCCTCCTTCCCATGCAGGTGTGGGATGTGCTACGTCTGCTGGACTATCTCACAGCGGTCCACTCTGACACCATAGACCCCTCTCGCATCGCCATCACTGGCGTCTCCCTTGGCGGTACGTATGCTTGCTGATTCGTTTCCTCCCTTCATGGTATGCAGGTGGGTGAGGAAGAGAGGCGTGTAGGTAGGTGTTAAAAGATGGGAGCAGGGCGTGCATGTGAGAGCACGGCTGGCGGCCACAGCAGACCCTCGGATAGCAGCGGCTTCTCCCATAATAGGCATTGCCGCGTTCAAGTGAGTGGGAGGGGAGTAACCCTAGTGCTCTCATCTCATCAGTGTGTCTCTCCCTCCCTTTCCTCACTGCCAGGCATGGTGGCATGGCTGGTGGCAACAGCTGACCCCCCTTCCCCTCTCACCCTCCTGCTCCCTTCAGCTCACCTACCACTCCCCTTCCCTATGTCCCTCCCGCATCCATCACTCCCCACCGCCAGGCATGGTGGCATGGCTGGCAGCCACAGCAGACCCCCGGATAGCAGCGGCTGCTCCCATGATAGGCGTTCAAGTGAGTGAGAAGGGAATAACCACAGTGCTCTCATCTCATCTCATCACTGTGTCCTTGCCCCTTGCGCGCACCGCCAGGCATGGTAGCATGGTACAATGATACTCAAAAGTGACACAATGATACTCAAAAGTGACACAATGATACTCATACGCATGCAGCTTGAGAGTGGCGAGGTCTGGGAGCAAGGCTGTGGGCAATAACTGCTTCTGCGCTGCAACGCTCATCTTCCCCCTCCCTTCCTCCCTGTGCTTCCACTGGGCAGTGAACAACAACAATTGCTTCCCCACCCAACAAGGCCTTAAATTGGACTCACTCACCCCAGTCCCCCTGACCATCCACCCTTGCCCCTCTCCCCCCCCCGCCCATCTCCCCTCCCCATCTCCTCTACTCGTACCCCAGTGCTTCGACATTCGAGCATACTCTCATTCCGCACACGCATCTCCCTCACTCCTCATCTGCCCCCTTCTCTCCCAGTGCTTCCACTGGGCGGTGGACAACAACTGCTTTCACGACCGAGTGGCCTCCATACCCCACGCGTTCAACGGTAAGCAAGCGCCATCCCGAGTGCACTCCTGACTTTTGACTCGATTCAACACGCCCTAGTGGCCTGCCCTGCCCTCCATCTCACACGACCGAGAGGCCTCCATACCCCACGATTTCAGCTGTAAGCAAGCTCTTGGCTCTTCCTGAGTGTTGAATCTTTCCTTTATCAGGTAACAGACTAGACAAGGTGAAAGCTAGCTCATGCATTCGATTGTTGGCAAGCTCGCAGACCTTTACATGGTTACCTGGTCTGCTTCTTATACGGTGGCATGGGCGTATCTGTTTTTGAGACGACTCAAAAATGGTATATGAGTGTCTCTACTGTTGCCTACCTGCGGTTTTTGCCCCATCTCTCGCTGCTCTCATGACCCACCATTTGGGCAGATGTTGAGATGGTTAGGTGCAATTCTGTGTGTTAGGTTAGGTGTCCATCTCTGAGGCGCTTGAAAGAAATAGACTCCCTTTATGGAGATTAGGACGCGCAGTGCTGTGTGTTATGTGTGTGTATGTCTGGCCCTCATATTACTCTTTGGCTTGACAATTCTGTCTTCTTTGCTTTGTTTTCCCACTTGCTTCTCTTATTATCTCAACAGCTGCAGCGGAGGACATGGGGAAGACACACGTAGATGCTGAAGTGGTCACAGCAGTGAGTGTTTTTCGTTTATTGTTTATTTTCCTCATGCAATTCCCGCCCATCTCCCAGTGGGTGCATGCATTGCTCGTCATCAGTATATAGTCACTTAGCCTTCTAAACCACGTCATTCGTTTCTTGCTATGTGAGCGACGACGGCAATGACAGGTATTACTGTCAAACATCCCCACATCATCACATCGTTTTCTCCTTACCCCCACTCCCCCGCATCCCCACTTCCCTATTCCCAATCCCTGGTTTCCCCTATTCTCGTCATGTCTCACCGCTTCCATATCACAAGCCCCATTCTTCTGCCCACCCTCATTTCTACCCTCCCACCCAACCCCCCTCCCTCCCTTAAAGCCCAGGTGTGGAACCGCATCACTCCTGGGTTGCTGCAGCATTTCGGACCCTACAACTCCCTGCCAGCCATCTGCCCCCGCCCACTGCTCATCCTGAATGGTACGCCCACGGTTCACTGCCTCGATGATTAAAATCAAACAGAATCAGCTCAACTCCCTCCCATCCCAGCCATCTATCCCCGTGCGTTTTTCAAGTTGCGCTCGCATCAAGTAAGTCTCTCACTCAGTTGCCTCTCTGCTGCATTTTCACAACAGGGCAGGGGGGGGATAGATAGAACATGCATTTTTTACTTTGAGCCTCTTTGACATGAAGTGAGTCTATTTTGCACCACTCACTCAGTTTTCTTCTGCTGCCACATTCACACATTGTGACAGGAGAAAGCGATCGGAGGTGTCCCGCTGAGGGTTTGATTTGAGGAGGGGTGGGTCAGCAAGCAGGCACTCTTGATCTCCATTCGTATCAGCTTAGCCTCTTTCTCACCACTCACTTACTCACTCATTTGCCTCTCTCCCTCTGCTGCCGCATTGGCACAACATGGCAGGCGAGAGCGATCCGAGGTGTCCCGTTGAAGGATTGAGGAGAGCGCTGCAGCGAGCAGAGGAGGCATACAGCCGGGCAGGGGTCGCTAACCACTTCGAGGTACGTGGGGAGGGAGGAGGGTTATTGCGGTGTTCCTCTGCCCTGGCTAGTAGATGCTGATATATATATATATATATATATATATATATAATGATAGAATCATATGCACATATTCATATTCATATTCATATACGTATACATATGTATACATAAGTGATACACAGCCTGGCGCTGAGACGCACACGGATTTGGCACAGTGAGTTGGTGCACTGCTGTCTTTCATTCTGTTCTGTCTGCGTTTCAATAGCTCAATGCAACTTCCCATGAGGTTTTTCCGAGGTCGCCTTCATCCTTTCACCAGTTCATCAGCACTTCATCCTGCCTTCCTCTCATCTTCCCCCACCACCCATGTGCTCTTATCTCATGCCAACCACCTTCTTTCTCCACCTCCTTTTCCATATATCTGGTGTCCCCCTGTATGTGAGCTGGGCCAGTTCCATGTAGAAAAGGGGGTGGGGCATGAGGTGACAGAGGCAATGTGGCGCAAGGCAGTCGCATGGATGCAGACACACCTAGTGGCGCAGTGATTGGAAACCACCCCAATTCTAATCATCTGATCTCATATATCTGGTGCGGCCATGCACTCAAGCTACACCAGAACCATGTGGAGCCCGGGGTGGGGTATGAGGAGACAGAAGCAATGTGGCGCAAGGCCATGACGGGGTGTTGCATGGATGCAGAGGGACACAGAGCGGTGCACTGACGGAGATATAGGGAACCTCCCAGATGCCTACCAGTACCTTTACTGTGGGGCTATTATCTTTTGTACATAGTATGGTCTCTTCATTGCCTGATCTTTAGGTCTTGTGTTGTAGCAGGTGCTATTATCTTTTCACCACAATCACGCTTGCTTGCTACGCCGGTAATGTATCAAATGCGGCCCATAGCAAGGGCAATCAGGGCATTTTACCCTTCAATCTTGGGGAGGAGTCATCTCCCCACTCACTTTGTGTCGTCCTCACAATCTACCTTTGGAACCGCATATCACCACTCTCGGCCACTCCATATCCTTTCATGCTGTTCTACTGCATGCCCCAGATCCAGGGCTTGCTTGAAAACATCTGGTTGCGATTGGCTGGACTATTTGTGGGGGGGAGAGGGGGCGACAAGGGGGGTGTGGGGGGGAGGGGAGAATGGATGGCAGTGCACTGTTCAGGGTGGAAAGGGACAAGGTATTGGGGGTTATTGTCCCCATCTCTCGAGGAATCTGGTAGCTGCACGTGTGGTTCTACCTAAGGAAGCCTCGAGGAAGGGGCAAAGGGAGGACATGAGGGGGAGGTTTCATCCAGGGCAGGAACATACCGAATGTTGATGAAGGGGATAGTGCAAGAATGGATTTCAAAGTGGTCCAGGGTGGTGCTGAGGGGTGATACATTGCATTACCATGCAACTGCTGCTGCGATCAGAAGTTGATCGTAACCAGGATCACCTCTGGAAGGTTCGCACACTACTGATTTAGTGGTGGTGGGCCCTTGACCTCAATAACAGAGTGAATGTAAATGCTTGAGATGATTAAAACATGCAAACACAAGGAAAATAAGTATGAGTACAGGGGAATACCAAACGTCCTAGTCTAGCCATGTACTCTAAGGGGTACATTCCTTTATTACAACGAAACTCAACCGTGCGACTCCAGACAGTTACGGAACTGTCAGGGCAGAATCCTCGCCACTGCTGCTGCCTGATGCTGTCTGCCCGACGGTCCAGATGCTTTCGTAACCGTGCGACCTTTCGTGTTGTTTCCGCCCTTTCGACTTCAACCTCGGTAGTGCGTGCTTCGCTTGCTGCGGTGAGGAGTGCACAGTGATGCTTCAATGATTACTATTCGTAACACCCCCCTTCACTCCTGGCCGTAGCGAGTCTTGACCCGCTTGACCACTCCGCCGAGTTCGGAGCAGTGCTGGTACTGCTGACGCGGCAGTTTCTTCGTGAGGAAGTCAGCTGCCATGTCACCTGTCGGGCAGTAGGTCAGGTCAACCTTGCCCTTGTCAATTTCGTCCTTGACGAAGAAGTACCGCAGCGCGATGTGCTTGGTGCGATTGACGAAGCCAGGTTTTTTCGCGATTCTGATCGCGCTCTGGTTGTCGCAGTGCAGGCGGAAGTTCGCCGAGGCCGGAATCTTCGCCTCCTGCAGCAGCTCCTGAAGGTAGAGGCCTTCGCGAACAGCTGCTGTTGCTGCGATGAACTCCGCTTCTGCCGATGATAGGGCAACTTGTTCCTGTGTCTGCGAATTCCAGGAGATGGGGCCGCTTGGCTCGAGGCGGAAGAGGAATCCAGTCCTGGACCGTCGATTGTCGGGATCGGCGGTATGATCAGCGTCCACGTAGCCGATGAGGTTGAAGGATGCGGTTGGGATGGTGGAGTAGCAGAGCCCAACATTGGGCGTGGAGATGAAGAATTGGAGTGCTCGCTGAAGATCTGAGAGGTTCTCGGCCGTTGGTTTGCGTGAGTACTGAGCCAGTTTACTTGCGATGTACGAGAGATCTGGCCTGCAGGTGACAGAGGCGAAGAGCAGGCAACCCAGTTGCTGCTGGTAAGTCTGCTGTGGATAGGGCTTTGTTGTCAGGCTTGTGGTTGGGTCCTGGAGTGCGGTAAGGTGTGGAGAGCGGTGCAGGTGCGATGTTGAAGCGCTTTCCAAGTTCCTCTGCGTACTTGGCTGCTGAGAGGTGAATGGCTTCCGGCGAGTAGGTTATGTTGAGGCCGAGGAACTGCTTCACGTCGTGGTTGCAGGTGATGTCGACGCGCCCTGCGAGGTTTTTCTCGAACTGCTCGAGTAACTTGGGGCTTGATCCTGTGTAGAGGAGATCGTCGACGTAAACCGTTAGCAGGATGTATTCGCCGCGGAAGTCGCGGCAGTACATCCCTGGATCGTGAGGCAGCTGCTTGAACCCAATTTCGAGCAGGATGTTGTGCAGATACTGCCGCCAGAGCCCCGGCCCCTGTTTGATCCCGTAAAGGGATTTGCGTAGCTGGTAGACGCGTGGATCTCCGTCGCCGTATGTGTGCGGCTGCTCTACGTAGATCACTGCGTCTACTAACGCGTACAGAAACGCGTTCTTCACATCGATTTGTCGGAGCGGTAGGTGTCGTGCGGCTGCGATGGCGAGAAGAATTCTGACGGAGGTGTGACGGCTGACCGGTGCAAACGTCTGGTCGAAGTCAATGCCGTGCCTCTGGTCATAACCACGTACGACCCATCGCGCCTTGAATCGCTCGATCGTGCCATCAGCTGCAGTCTTCACGCGGAAGACCCATTTGCCAGAAAGGATCCTCCTCCCTTTAATTGCTGCTCAATCAACAAGTACTTAGGTGTCGCGTGACTCGAGCGTTTTAATCTCCGCATCCATTGCTTCGCGCCACTCCTTGCTGTGTGGTCCTGTGAGAGCTTGGCGCGGATTCTTTGGTTCGATGACTCGTGGCGCCGTTGTGGTGGCAGTGTGGAGTCCGAGAAGCTGAAGATCAGTGACGGTGCTGTCGTGGCGATGCTGCGTGACGACTTCCTGTACGTCGTCGTCATCACTCTCTGGTTCAGGCGGGTCTGGTGGTGCTGCGCCTCCGCCGCTTCCGCTTCCTCCTGCTGCGCCTCCTGCTGCGCCCCCTTCTGCGCCCGCTCCTCCTTCGGATGAATCATCGTCGTCGTCGCGACGATGACCTCTTGTGAAATCCCCTCTGGGGTCTTGCTCCAGGATGGCCGCGGCAGCTTCGACTTCTGGCGTGGCATAGCTGTGCCCGTCATTGGCGTAAACGCGGCTCGCGTTCATCAGCTCATCTTCGCGGAACTACTGGAGGAAGAGGCGCTCGTAGAAGATGACGTCGCGCGCGTTCTTAACTTTCTGGCTCAGGAGGTCCAGAATGATCCACGCCTTGTATTCGTGGCTGATGCCGAGGTGGATCCCCCAGTGCGCGCGGCTCTTGAACTTGCCGATGGTTGATGTTGGCGGGCGATATTGAACCATGCACCCCCACACGCGGAGCATGGAGGTGTCGCCCTTGGTCCCCGTCCACTTCACGTGCGGGGAGAGGTTGCCGGTGATCGCGGTGGTTGACAGCAGGTTATGCACCCGTATGGCGTGGTGCATCGCGTACGTCCAGTAGATCGGCGGAAGCTTCGACTGCTTCATCAGTGTGCGCACCTTCGTCATGAGTGTGCGGTTGGTGCGCTCGACTACTCCCTGCTGTTGGTGCGCGTAGGGGAGAGAGATGTGGTGCTCGATCCCCTTTTGCGCAAGGTAATCCTGCAGCTTTTTGCTCTTGAACTCCGCCGCGCCGTCAGACTACCAGATCTTCAACTTCTCCCCAGATTGCCGCTGCGCGTGCGCTAGCCACAGGCGGAATGGTTCGTATGCTCTGCTGCGTGCTTCAACGTTTACGACCCACACGTAGCGCGTTCCGGCGTCGATGAAGGTGAGCGTGTAGAGTTCGTCGTCGATCCCGCAGTGTCCTACGTTGAGGAAGTCGCTGTAGACTTTCTCCTGTTTAGCGTAGCGGTTGGTTCCTGGTTCGAGCAGGAGGAAGGGCTAGTGGCTCAGCGCGGCCTCGGGGCAGACGGTGCAGGTGCGCGGGTGTGTTCCGCCTCTCACTTCAGAGCCGTCAGGGCGCAGGAGTGCGCCGGGTGCGAATACACCAGCCTTGATGCAGTTCTCCAGCGTGACGCGCGAGGGGTGGCCGAGGCGCTGATGCCAGAGCGCATCGTCGGCACGGAATCCAAAGGTGCGCATGTAGAGCGCGCGTACTGCTTCGGGGTCCTCATCTGGTGCTGGAGCAGGTGCTGCTGTCTCTTCTTCCTCGTCGTCGTTCGCCGTGGTCAGCATTAGCGCGAGAAATTCCCTGTCGCGAATGATGGAGTAGGGGATGGTGGTCCCAGGGATCGTTCCAAGGACGAATGTCGGTTCGCGCGACTCGGGGTCAGGCCCGTAGACAGTGCGCCGCGGAGTAGATGGCTCATTGCCCCAATCGATGGTGTCCCAGGGGTCGCGTTCTGGCTGGATGTCAGGTGGAGGCAAGGCAGGTGCAGAACGGCGCGGTGGGCGACCAAGAGGGACAATCACAGGTTCTGCTGCTTCTTCTGCTTCTTCTTCCCCCCCCCCCCCTTTGGTCCTCGCGGGCGGCCCCCCAGCCTTCGCCAGAAGTGCCCCAGCCGCTTGTCTTGCCGCCAGATGCGGCGCCCCACCCTCCGGTGTTGTCGTCGTTTGCTGCGCCCCATCCACCAGTGTTGCCGCCAGTTGCGGCGCCCCATCCGCTGGTGTCGCTTGTTCCCCATCCGCCAGCGCTTCCCCACCCCCCTCATTGGAGGCGCTCTTCGCTTCGTCCTCCCAGGCGAGTGTTCCACGCAACTCGGCGAGACTTTTCGGTCGAAGCTCCTCAGGTTCGTGTCGCGCCAATTCCTCTTCTTGTTCCACCGTGAGTTTCGTCTTCGAGACGCGCCGGTGCGAGTATATCTCCGCTGCCTTTTCCTTGGTGTAGGGCCGAGGGTTGCCATGCGCGTCGAAGGTGCCGACACCGACGCCGCGAAGCATGCCTTGAAGAT